AATTGGTTTCAGATCTTTTCCTCACTATATTATATAGTAAAATAATTACAAAAAAAGGAATTATATATATGTTTTGTTATATTCTGAATATTCAACTTGACAAATTAAGCTTTATTAAGTGAAATGATGGAATTTTTTGAACTTACATAGATGTGGATGTAAAAAACATGAGACATACAAGTTCAGCTCAGAAAAGTACAGTAAGGTAAAAGAAGTTCATGAAAGGTTATACGTTTGACATAATAGCAAAAAGAGGGGAAATGACCTTAAGTAAGTTAACATAATTATGTTAAAGTAAGAATTTGTTTTACTTTCTAGTAAATACTAGGTATTGATTATAGGCTGTCTTTAAATGATCTTACTGCCATCTCACTTGGAAGTGCTCAACTTTAACCCGATGACTACCGGCTACTAACTTTCTTAGTAGGCAATGCAAGTCTTGCTATATTTCATTCCAACAATAAAACTAGTGGACGAATATTTTTCGAAAATTCATAAATACTTTGACAAATGTAGGTAGGTTAAGAAACATAAAGCCTATTACGTTTAATAAATTTAGTTTTTTTGCATTATGATCTTTAATATCTTGGAAAATTACATTAGGAAATGGTATTTATAAGAAATGATTACAATATTTATATTTGCTACAGATTTGAACTTATTGATTTTAATGTTTTAGTACATTATTTTGAAATCCCCCAAAAATTGTATCCTCCATAAAATGCAAATTTTATCTGTTTTTAATTCTTTTAATAATCACGTATACTTCTTATGGTTTCAAGTAATATATAGACCCATAAATAATATTTGTAAATAAACCTAAACAATAAATGAGTATTTTTATTTTTAACTAGGATTTCATGTTTATATATGTACATAAAGACATTTTAATTTTCTTTCATAAATATATTTTTATTTCAAGTTTATTTTTATGTTTCATTGCAGCCGTACTTTTGTTTATTGTGCCACATAAACCGTTGGGTCTGCAGCGTGAACTTTGTACGTTGTCCTTAAACTATCTCACCCCTTTTGGTGGTCACTCTCGTTCAACCGAGCGAGAGTGCATGCGCATTTGAACGTTACTGTAGATATGATAGTAGGAAAGTTTTTCGGTACTTGAATATCATTTCTGTGAACTTTCAAACAAGTTTATTTCAACATATGTCCGTGTATGTTGTTTCAGAATAGAGACAAAACTGATTGCCACTACTAACAAATGTATGTAACAGTTCATAGTACAGGTGGTTTCAATAAACACTGCCTGAGCCTGACCCCTTGTTACTTGATACATCATGTTAGAAGAGATTACCAAACGATACAGACACCATAAATTACAAAGAAAATTACTTTACAGCACTTAAAAGATTAGTCCTGGTCACATTCCTCTCATTACAGGCAAGATTTATGTTGGAATGTGAAACTTGAGCTCTTCAATGTATTGAGACCCCAACTGTGAGAATGTCATAGTTTCCCTGTATTATTGGGATGAATGTATTTAGCCTGTTTCACAACCAACATATGGATTTTAATTTTTCACTACTGAGTATGAACCATTTGCAAATTATCAGAATAAACTATATGTATATATATATAT